TTTTTTTTTTTTTTCTATATTTGTTGTGTTCTCTTTTTATTTCTTCTTTTAAATCCCCCGTGATCCCTTTTTTAAAAACCTTTTTTCTCACCCTTTTTCCCCAAAACTTGTAAAAAAAAAAAAAGGAAAAAAAACCCCCCCCCCCCCCCCAATCAAGGATGGAGCCGCACAAAGGGCAAAAACACACCATCTTCCTATCTTTGATTTGGGGGTGAGGGGAAGTCTAGTTTTTCCATTTATTTTGTCCAAGGTTGTAGCCTGCATCATAGATGTAATAAACCCCTTAACCAGAGGTTTGGTTCCATCTTCTTCATTTTTGTTCTCTCTCTGTTTATTGTTTTGTACTTTGTCTTTTTTGGGTCATGATCTTTGTGAGAAATCAAGCAAGAAATGTACCCGGCAAAGTAAATATTAATTTATTATGGCAATCGTGTTGCTTCATTACTGTCTGTACTGTAAAATAAAAGTACTGTTTCTGTTGCCAAGAAAAAATATGACATTGTTGATAAACTAAGAAATAAAAATAATTTTTATACGATGAATAACTTACTGTATTATTAAGTACATGTAAATGAATCCTCAGAAATAGTGTTTGGTGGGGCAACAACAAGTTGGCAAAGCATAATTAGGTTGATTATTACAGGTTAGAGGAAAACAAAATAATAGTCTCCCTCTGACCTCTGTGGACCTGTCTTAAGGTGTTCTTTGATAGCACTGATTTTTCTAATTATGATTTTGTACAGAAATGAATAAGAAAAGTCCCCATGTAAACTAGCCTGCGTAACTAGTAGGGTCACTGTGAGTGCAGAAGTGCCTTTTTGCATAGCGAGCTGCTAAGGATTTTTGCCTGTCTTCCCTTGGCTTTATATTTACAGCGAAGTTCATTCCATGGGTGCTTTTGTGGTCTCAGTGACCGGTGGGGTGAAGCAAAATTAATCCTGCGAGTCACACAGACTACATAGTACAACTATCTTAAAAATGTACCATCAGCCATTATTGATCCCAGTTTTATAAGGTGGATAACAGGGATTTTTCATTGAAAAGCCCTTTTTTATTTTATTTTATTTGCCACATGATAATAGAAAATGAATTACAAAATTATAGCATAGGATAAGTAGATAAAAGAAGTGGCGAGGAGACCGAGGCCTCTTTGAACTACAAGCTAGAGCTGTTTACATTATTAATGAAAAAAAAGATGGTGAAAAGTCGAAGACGTAAAGATTTAAGATCAGTAATTGACCCAGGGGACTTTGTCTTGTTAAATTCCCCCACCTCTGATTGGAGGGAAATTCTCAAAGTTGCTCCACCCGTTATACAATCCCCCTGGGCCAGCATCCTTCTTCCCCTGGGGCAAGCCAATGACATATGCATTAACCAGCCAGCCAGCAGCCAGCCAGTGGCATTACTGTACATGTAGCTATAGGGGAGAACAGGGGTGTTCGTGACCCCCACACCTTGGAGGAAGCTTCCTTTTCTTTTTTTTCTGGAAAAGCACTAGGACATGATAAACCAACACGTCTACACTAAAATTCATCATCTTTGAATGACAATGTATTGTCCAAGTTAAAATAAAGCTCCCTAAGAGTGTGCGAAGCATACACTCACTCAACTCGCTCATAGTGACCACTTCTCGGAAGTGACCACCTCCCGTAAGCAACCACTTTAAAAGTAGCCATTTTGTTTCCCTTATGCTTTCGTGACACATAAAAAATACCAATTAACAAACATGACAGTATACTACAAATAGTAATATTTAATATTTATTGCAAAAAATTTGGCTACAAAAATATTTACATGAATCTTTTATTTTTAATAATATTTGGACTTAAATCCTTGAAAAACTGTTTGGCCTCTTTAAATCATTCCAATAGTTCATGACTTCTACCAACTGCTCCATGTATTCTATTGCCATTGAGCACTAAACTGAGTATGCCAAAGGAAGATTGAGGCCCACGACTGGGCCGACTGTGCTTAACCATGTGATAAGATAATTAAGAGGCCTGTGGAGAAAAGATTATGATTATTTAATATCAAGCTTTGTTATGATAATTACTTCATCTCCGTCAGTAGCCCCTACGCATGGCTTCCTTTTCTCTTCTTTCCCCTCCCCCTTGAATGCCTGCCATGCTGGCTGTTCTTCAGCTACAGGTTAATGAAACCCAGCCCTAGCTATAAGCTTCCTGGACACACTTATTTTTATCTGGCACAATTATCTTATTGATAAACTAACTCATATGGCATAATTGCTATCTCATATGGTGTATTTTATTTTTTTTACCACGCTATTAATATATATAAAATATTTTTTAACTTTCATTGCGACTGGTAGTCTTTTCCTGTATTAATTCTGTAATTACACCATTTCACTTTGAAATTAATTTAAGTATATTTAACAGCATATTGATAAATATTGTAATCTTAGGCCATAGTAGATATTTTTCAATTATTGTAAACATACTGGGGCATTGCAAATTGCACTCAAAATAACGCAATTATTATGTGTTGTTTTCTGACACCAAACAAGTGATGTTATCCTGGAGAGCTTTTTCTTTCAATGCATGTATGTATAAATTAAAATAAAGCCATGCATAATTTAGAAAATTCCTTTAAGAAGATCACATGGTCTGAATTGGGAAATTAAAGAAGGATTCCTTTCTGCTTCCTTTTTCAAAAAAGAAGCTATAAGATCAGACAGTGGTGAAAAAGCCATTCTCTATGGAAAAGAGGTCCACAACACTACATACTGTACCTGTCTGAGTCAATACTTAATGCCCTCTTCATCATGTCTGCAGTGTGGCAAGGATGAAGCTGGTAGAATGGAACCCCAAGGTAAGGGTGTTCCTATACCAAGAGAGAAATGATTAGTAGGCTCTACAAAAAAACAAATAATTAAATGGCAGGTGACATACATTACAAGGCTGTGCTCTAAGGAAAATTGAGGGAAGCACAGAATTCTGAATAGGTAAAATCTAGGGTGCCCAGCATATATGATTTGTATGAAGAAAGTAAGATTTTCTAATCGCCCGAGAGCAAAAGTTAGGCGCCAAGGGCCACCAGGCTCTGCTAGAGCACAGCAAGGCTTAATAGCATAGAAAAACCCCAAGGCCCTGTATGTGCACTGCAATTCCCATGTACTGAATCTCGTTATAGTAAAAGCATGTAGCTTACCATCAGTTCGCAACAAGGCTGGCACTATAACTGTACTGCTAACTGAGAATCGCCAAGGTTTCAAATACTGCACATGGTTTATTTCGTCCAAAATGTACAGAAATACAGAAGATATAAAGAATTCGAAATCTACGTAGAGATATTAACAGGAACTACAATCAGTCAAGAAATATTAAAACAAACCGTAAATAAGAATAATATTCACATACCAGTTGGTGTCTCTCAAGTTTCGCAACTAGTAGTAATGATCTTACTAATCAACGATTGTTACGTCATGTCATTAGTCGTGATTATATCACGCATGAATTTCGTGTTATACCGAAACACTCCCCCGCCACTCGAAAAGGAAAGTTACATTACAAAGACAAAATTTATTTCAAGTCCAGTTTCACGTAGAGTATTTCAATTTCAGAAAAATTAGTAGTAGTTCAATTTTTTGTGTCTTTATCTTCTTCCTTTGGTATCAAAACAACCAATTTGTTTACTGCTCGTTCAACGGTAACAAAACCTCTGCCATGGTACTCGTTGACAGCTTCTCCTGGTTTTGGATTTTTGTACTGCACTTGAACTTTCCTTACTCTACCATCTCCTCCAGGAAAGGCTTTAAGCACAGTCCCAAGCTTCCATTGTCCTCTTATCTGGTTTGCGTCTTGGATAAGCACTACATCGCCTTCACGAAGATTTCGCTGTGCAGTGTGCCACTTTGGCTGAATAAGTAAACTTGGAAAGTAATCTCTGGTCCACTTCTTCCAGAAATAGTTCACGATACTTTGAACGAATTCAAATCTACGGCGGAAATCTGAAGTCTCTCGAAAGGGTCCACTTGGTACTCTTGATGTCGCTCTTCCTAGCAATAAATCATTGGGACAGAGGTACGTTCCATCATGAGGTGAGGTAGGGTGTCTTCCGATTGGTCTTTCATTCACAAGATTTGCCGCTTCAAAGCAAACAGTTTGCAGTTCGGAAAATGTCAAAACATGATCACTGATTGCTGCTGTTATTGCTCGTTTTATGGACTTGACCAATGCTTCAGAAACTCCGTTTTGCCATGGTGCATCAGCTGGCGCAAAATCCCATTTGAATCCTTCCATCACGCCAAATGTTTTGAGTTCCTCTTGGTTCCAACCCTTAACTACATTTTTTAGTTCTTCGTTTGCGGCGACCAGTTGAGGGCCATTGTCTGAATAAAGTTTGAAGGGGAAACCTCTAATTGATACAAATCTTCTGAGGACCATGAGAAATTTTTCAGTGCTGTAATCCGCGGCTAGATCTACGTGAACGGCACGGGTAGCCAAGCAGTTAAATATCACACCATATGTCTTCCCAATAGTTCTTTTCTTCACCTTGTCTTTAATTTTGAACGGACCAAAGAGATCAATAGCTGTGCAGCTCCATGCAGGTGATGGCTTCAGTCTTTCCACCGGTAACTTTCCCATAATCTGTTCGCTTAATCTCTTGTCTAATTTCTTGCATATCACGCAGTTGTATCGGATGGATTTCACCATTTTCAATAGTTTAATTATCCAGAACTTCGTGCATATATGGTGAGATTTCACATTTTTTCAATTATTCTCCAAAGCAGCAGAGGTGCTTGGAGAAAGTAATCCGCGACCTCTGCCGTACTCGTTGGGTTGAACGTCACGAGGCATACACAACGTTCACGCTGTTACTTCCGTCGATTGTTAAAACCTTTGAGGTCATTTTGGACGAACAGCAGCACAAACAATACAGTACTGAAACACCTTGGAACTGGGACAGAGAGACTCTCCAGAAGGCAAATGGCTTCTACCCCACATGTTGTTCTTTCCAGTTTCTCATTGCGTTAATAGTCACCATGAAAACTTTGGCAGTCATTAAGCCGATTAGCATTAAACTGCAAAAGAAATCCAATGACATCGTGAAGTCATACTGTATGATATCAGAGACTGAGAAAGAGTTGAACGAAAAGAGAGACGAGGCTGAAGCTGTGTTCAAAAGATGGTATTCCAATGCTGTCAAGCTCAGTTTAGACCTAGGTACCGAGCCCAGCGTTCCGAAAACAGCCTCAAGACAGCAGCACTGGGCAAATGCACCCCATGACACTCCTGAGGAATGTTACCGTCGTAATCTGTTTGTTCCTTTTCTTGACCATATTACACAAGAGATGTCTTCAAGGTAATATGTTTTAATCAGGTCTTCATGACATTTTACATACGTTGTTTGCAAAATAAGACAACCTTCAGGACGGGGTCCCTTTAAAGTGATCAGATTACTTAGCTGTTCCTTTACTCTTCTCCAGTTATAACAGTCACACTACACAAAGTACAACAGAGTACAAATACGCAAATTCTCATCAGTGGTTATATTTTGAATTGTTCTAGTAATACTCAGAAGACTGCTGTGCAGTTACTTGGTCTAGTTCCAAGCATCACCATGTCACGCACAGATGCAAACATTGATGCGGTTTCAGAGATGTACAGCTCAAACCTGCCAAACCCTCAAACTCTGGATGTCGAGTACCATCGATGGACGAGAAAGTGGCAGTCAGAAAGAAGCCAACCAGACGCACTTCAACCTGCATTAGAGCTACAGAACTTAATGTTTTTGTTTTTTAATGTTCGCCTTTCAAATTAAACTGAACTATTTCTTTTTTGTTATCTTAGGCCTGTGATGCAGACATTTTCCCCAACATCCACTGTTTGCTGCGCATTGCATGCACTATTCCAGTGACTTCACTTCAGCTGACAACGAGCGGGCAAACAGTACCTTAAAGCTGGTTAAAGGCTACCTGTGGACCACCATGACGACAGAAAGATTGTCTGGCTTGGCGCTCATGAATATTCACCACAAGAAACCCGTGGATTATGATGCTGTTGTAAAGAAATTTGCAGAACAGCAACCCCTGAGAATGTTGCTGGCTGATCCCATTTTTGAGAAATCATGAATTTTTAATTTGAATGAATTTAAAATGTTTATCCGTCTCAATTATTGTCAGTGTTAAGAAAATCCATCCTTTAAACTACTGTAGTTAGCACAAAAATGGAGGTGACTTTAGAGCAATTATGCCACTTCAAATTGCCCCCCTTGGGGCTACTGCCTTCCGCGGGCGTTTATCCGAACCCCCCTTCGTCCAATCCTGGGTCCGCCCCAGACTACATTGTAGGTATTGGAGGTTTTCTTTACTATGACTTTGTGCTTGCGTAATTTATTTTTTATTAATGCTATGCAATGTCTTACTAAAAGCGAAGTGAGTCGTTTTGATTTTCCACTTCACTGTTACCAAGTTACGCATCCATTTCTTTGCACTACATGTATCTCAGTCAACGGCTTACAGCAGTACTTCCTCCCCTCCCCCTGTTTAATGTTGTAGAATATGTGCAACTTTCTAAGACCTTGCTTTAACATGCACATCATGATTAATTATATTAATTTTTCTAAAAGATGCCCTACCTAATATTGACCTTAATCAACAAAGAACAACATAGTTTGGGTAAAGGGGGCACTGTTGGTTTTCCTGAGAAGCAGGGAGAGCATCTGTGTGAATCAACCTGACAAAGTAATACCCACCTGTTGGGTTAGAAAGGTCCACTTTTCATACTCAAGTCTGTCATGATAAATGTCTGGTACATTCTCCCAAACTTCCTTCAGACTTAATAGTCTACCATCTGCAATGTATAATACAAATTTTAACACAGACTTAAACCTCCTTATATTGAGTCTAGACAACACAAGACAATATTAATTTGGAGTCTTATACCAGCAGGTAAGTTCAACGTTTTCCTAATAATTTAAATTACAAAGTACACTAGTAATTAGACAACAACAAGTTATCATAAACAGAGACAATTACAAATAGATTTTTATTGAGCCAAGTGAACTTACGCAACAAAACAGGAAACCTTGTGTGACAAGCATTCACAACTATAATTTTGTTTGAAATAACTTTTTGCCAAACTTCACTCTCCTTTGAACATATATTTTTGTAAAAGACCAGAAAACATAAATGTAATTGAAGATCATGACAAAACATGCAAGTAATAGCCCTGTCACGTTTGTCACGCACAACCGTTTTCCGGTCCTCTTCTTCCTGCCATCCTGTTGCATACACTCACTGCCATCACCTTGCTGAGGTGGGAGGGAGGTGTGATTCTAAGGCCAGAGGAGCTAAGCAAGCAGGGGCGGAGCTCCTGAGCAAGAAAGGTTCATTGAGAGGTGATACTGTCAAAGGGTAATTGATTGAATGTTAGAAGTGTAATTTACAAGAAAATGCAGGTATTGGTTTTCAGACTCTGAAACAACAACATCACTTGTAAAAGTTTTACTCAGCTGACCCCTAGAAAAAAGCTCACAATGAATCGGTAAAATATGTGCTAATGGAATGTGAATGGAACACAAAGAAATCACCAAATAAATTAATACATAAAAGAGCATTCCCCTGACCATTTAATCATGTCCTTTTTCCGCGGATTATATCAAACTTAATTAGAACAACTACTAACAGCAAGTACTGCCAACTGTCAAGTTTATATTCATGGTAGAAGCAATGAGGATAATTCTTTACATGAATACTACATTGATGTGGTGAATAATTTTTAGGCATGGGTGGGGCTATGATGACCAATTTTGTGTGAAGGGGTAAGGGTCTCAAAAATTTTCACCAAATGATTTCAAGCAGATTTAATAAGAATGGGTGGTACATGCAGTGATATGCAGAGGTATTGACAATATTTTTCTGGGAGCTAGGATTAAAATTAAGGCTATGCACTTCGTTAACCAAAATACAAACCATGTCTGCAAGCAGTAAAATACAAAACAGGTACACTGTAGCTGTCGCTGTACACAATATGATACTCGTACTTCAAGAATTCACCATGTACATCCGACCGCTGGTCAACTGACACTGTGCAGTCCTGCAAAATTAGTAAATTCATACTTAGTTAACCCTTTAGGCCCCAAGATCCACATACAAATTCTCCAGACTGATCTCCATACATTTCTTTTAAGAATAGTTGAGAGAATTTGGTTTAAAATCAAAGCATTCTCCCTTTTTTTAATCAATTTAGTAATTCTCATAACCTTTTACTCTTGATGATCTGCTGATGTTGTGAGAGGAAAATTGATGTTGGTCACTCTTGCGACCTAAACGGTTACAAAACTGCTTCCAGTATGGTATCAGAAATGAGCCTCCGGTTTTTTTTTTTTATAATTCCAAAACCGCCCTTCTTGAGAAGTTATAGTTGTAGTCGAGGTTTGCTAGAGTGAAAATCCTGGCTTGTTAAGTATTAATTTCCATCACTGAAATACCATTTTTTTAAATTTTAGAATGTTATATTTAAATATCGTTTTTTGTAGTTCTTGTTAATTTCATAAGAGAAGGGGGGGGAGCCCCAAGCCGAAGCCCCAAGCAAAATGGCTCCAGTGCTATGCTTTGGAGACAGTTCTAACAGTTGTGGGTAACTGATGCTTGAACAAGGATACTTGTCTTGCTCCTCAACAAAATCCTCCATGCAGTGTTACACATACCACTGCATGTAGTAATCACTTTGGGTTAGGTATTAAAGTGGGGAACCTGTTTCATCTGTGTTTTGATTAGGTCAATAAAGCAAAATGAAACTGATAACAATGTAATAATATGTGAACATGAGCAAAACATCTTACTTCATCATTTTCTGTTACTCCCCATTTATTTTCCTCTGGGAAAGGTTTGTTAATCTCATGATCACTTTCCTTGTGGCCACTTAGTGTAGGTTTGACTTGACGTTTAACAAGAAACTTTCTCGCTTTTGATTTTCCCTTTAAAGGACAAAGGATTAAAAAAAGCAAGTCATTAATATTTGCCAAGCAACATTGATAGATACAGTTGAAAATTGTTGAGCAGAATGAAGCTTAATCATAAGTTGAACATGAACAAGTTTTTAATGCACTAATCAGTTCAAAACTTGACCCCCATCCACAATCCCCCAGGGCATTTGGCCACTTTTGGGGGTCCAGGAAGCATGAAATTCAACATTAAAAAGTCCTTACCTGGGGGAGGGGGAAGGGAAATTTGAACTTTCCATGGGTTGGGTAAGGAATTTGAGCCATTCAGTAATCAATGTTTTGGAAAACATTTGAATGGACATTACATTCAGTACTAAAAATGATGTTTTGTTATTTCCATTGCCAGCACTGCACTCTTCTTCTGACCCTACTTTTGCCTCATGCAACATAAGGGACTAGTCATTATTTATGTGGGGGGGTGGGGGGGAAAAATCATGGGGTGGGCCAGGCCTATTTTTTTTAGAGAAAAGGGGTGGGCCAAAAGAGAATTTCACGATGATTGGGGGTGGGTCATTGATGGTGAACGTATTGATGGTGCTCCTGTTCTGTCTGATTACATTCACGCAAGTGTTTCAGAACATGCAGAAGACTCTTTCTTTTTTAATGGTGAATACCTTTCAGAGTACATGAAAAAATCATTTAACAACAGAAATGATATGCCTGGATCAGCATATATCCGTAAAATCTTGGAATTCAATGAAAAGCATGTCGAGTCAGGGGAGCTTTATGCCGAATTTTTGAAAGGATCATGTAAAGAAAAAAATGGTTCATTGTGCAAGCACTGCTGTGTAACAGATGGACCTGAGGAGATAGCCTGGACTGGACCAGCAACTGAAAGAATACCAAGACCAATTCCAGACCAATCTGCACTTCCTGAATTTGAATACTTGAGCATTCATACTTCTTCCAATATTGATAAAATGGCAAGAAGCGTATTCCAGATGATTGGCAGCAATTATCAAGGGATCAAGGGAATGACCAAGGGAAGTTGTCAATTAATGCATCAGATGCTATCACAGAATTTTCCTCCAAATTCATTGTAGATGAAAAACTGGTGAAGAATTACATTGTGCACTTGTCGCAACTGCAAAGTGTCAATGAGATCTGTAAGCAAGAGCGAAGAAAACAAAAGCAAGTTCGAGCCTTAAAAGATGTACATTGCTATGACTGGAAAACACTTGTAGAGAAGCTTGACACTTTGAAAGTCCCCGAGTTGGACAAATAGATTAAGCATAATAAACTTAGCAAGAACGGAAAGAAAATCGACAAAATCAAGCGAATCACAGTACACTATTATGAAACTTCAAAGGAATCTACATTTCCTTTAAGCGTCAGTGTTGGTGAGGACAGTGATGTGAGTGACAGTGACAATGACCTTGTTTTGTGTGATGAAAGTGAAAGTGAAAGTGAATCAGATGATGACAGTCATACTGTAACAATACAAGAAGGCACATCAACAATAAGTGGCTGCAGAGTAGGACACCGGTCCACAAGATATGCTGATTTCGTTCAGTGAACAGGAACTCCTTGTAGAAGTATAGATTGAAGGGGGTTGGGGGTGGGTCACCTCTTATATAAAGTTATATGGGGGTGGGTCAAGAATTAACTAATGGGCTTAAAGGGGTGGGTCACGTTTTTTCTTTCATGCTAAAACAAAAAAAATCCCCCCCACCCCCCCACATAAATAATGACTGGTCCCTAAGTCCTCTCTCCTCACATTCTAACATCCTTGTATGCCTCCAGGTCGGGACTACCCCGACACATATTCCATAGTGCCCCAACAGCTACAACAACTGTCCTCGGAAAACGTCACAGGCTTTTCAAGGTCTTCAAACTTGGCGTAAAAGGAGAACCACCACTTGAAACTCTGTTCCACAATAATTATCAGCACTGCTATCTGGTACGTACAGCTCCTAACAGCTTCAAAACTGACCTTTAATGTGCTTCATTATCACTCTGCTGAACACTTTACTTTACTCAGAAGCATGATACAATGCCAGTTTTTCTAGTGGCTCAGGTCACCATTCCTTGGAATCCTGATTAACAGACCCTTCTTCTACTCCTCTCGCACCTCCTTCTTGTCCCACATCTTGTTACAAAGGTCCATCAGACCCTTACCTGTGAAACCTTACTACCAGCCTTAATCGCCTCTAGTAGTTAATATTACAGCCTGCAGCTTCTTTATAGCATTCTTGTTTGATCTCAGCAAGTGCAATGAAACCTGCCCTGATGTTCAGATTATTGCCTTAACCTTCGATGGGTTGGGTGCACAGGAAAAAATAACAGATTCCCATTTTTGGATATTTTAGGGAATTTAAAGAATACCCACAAAAATCCCAAATTTGGAAGAGTGAGACAAGTCCCAATCAGGGAACTTGGTTGGGAATTCCCTGGTTGGGACTTGTCTCACTTTGCCAAATTTGGGATTTTTATGGGTATTCTTTAAATACCCTAAAATATCCAAAAATGGGAATCCGTTATTTTTTCCTGTGGTGGTTCCTAGTGGTTTAATACACGAACAAAGTGTTCCATCCAACTATAAATCTCCTCCTCTGCTGTCCTGAGTAGCAATCCTCCTTCATTTTTCACCGCTTACAAGTGCTCTGTAATCTTCCATTCCACCTGACCCCTACCTTGTACAAAGCGTTCACATCTGCACCCTTCCTTACACATTTAATTAGCTGGGCATATAACACTGTATAAGCCCCTGAGCTATACAGCGACCGTACGTAGCGACCGTACCTTTGGAAATTCTAAATTCCATGAATCCTGGATATTCTTTGCTCTTTCAATGAAGTCCAATAGCTCATTTTCGAATTCTTGATAAGACAAAGTACCCGTTTGCAACATATAACACAGCCTTTTAGAAAACAACAAGTGCAAATGTCACAGACGAGTCACAGACTGGATTCTTGAAAACTGGTGACGACTTTCTGCGCCGCGCATGCGGATAGGAGAGCTGTCTCTCCACTACATGCGCAAAAGAGCTCTGAGTAGAGATCTCGCTTTCAGGGTAGGGTGGGTTTTGGGAGGAAAAGAGAATCTTGTTCAGAAAGTCAGGAGAAAAAATAATAAGAAGAAAAAAACAAGAGGGAAAACTTTTTGCATATTTTCATAGTTACCAGTACTGAAATCAAATTTGGAACTGAAAAAAAGGCGCTCCAAAATTGGCTATTACCTTCCCACCCACCCACTTGGTAGCTCATGATTTGGCCGTAGCCGATAAAACGAAAGAAGATAAATTGTAGAGGCATTGATTTTTGAAATTGAAATTTCAGTCACTACAGACATATTTTTATTTATACATATTTTTTTTGTTTTACATTTATCCCACGGCTATTGAGCATGTCGCCCCTCTCCCCCTCCCCCCCCCCCACTTCTACCACCGCTCTCGACTTTGACTGTGTTGTTTTTCGAGCATGCAAGCGATTTAAATAACATCAATGTCTTTTACACCCACTGTTTGCACCCAGCTTCTCTCATAGAGAGCACAAAAGTAATTACATAAGTTCGTGCGAATGTGCGCGCATGTACGCGAAAATGGTTTTCAGCTTCTGCGCGACATTTTGCCAATGCGTGACCCAAGTCTTGTTATAGTTATTCTGTATTGTTATTTTTTGTTCTTTGAGACAATGTTTTTAGTTAAAATAAAACCGGGCCTTTGCGCATGATTTACAAAGGAAGTGTTTTCAAAAACCGATCTCTTCATAAAATTTAGACTTCGCATGACCCGACGCGAATTTTAAATCTGGCCATTCACAACTCACTCCAGAGCACCTGCCGATCTTCTAAAAGGTGTTACCACTGAAAAACAAGCCAAAAATAACGCACATTTTAGGTGCCTGCCGTTGATCGAAGAATGAACATTTTTCTTCGGTAATCAGGTAATTCAAGGTATTTGCGCATTTTCTGACCTTTGTATGTGTGGAATGCAATGTACATTCATTTAATTTTCATTTCTTTTTCATATGTTCTATTTTTTATTGTCATAAATTCGTTTATTAAATCTTATTTGTGTTGTACTTGGAAGAACTCAAGCTATTAAAGCGCATTCTGGTTAAATCTTGAATACAACAAAAAAATAAAGTGCGACAAATCGAGGTGAGTCTCTGACCTTTTCCAAGGACGACGGGAAGTGACGTCACCAAATGGGCCGTCCTTGTATTGTTAAAACTAGAACAACTGACAAAGCTTCGAACAACCATCTGCCGCGAACGCGCATAATGACAAAGTTACTACGCAGATATGAAAAACAACTCCACAACACATGAAATTTTAATTTTCATCTCGGAAGCGAAAATTTAAAAAAATGAGAATATTTTTTAGCTGTTCTTTTGAAGTTGAGTTGCGTGTGCTGTTAAATGGAGCGCTATATTTATGCCGTGACATTCATTTAACAAGTGTAAATATCCGTGCAGCCGGAGTGGATGAAGATCGCGCGCGGGATAGATGAGCGTGATGCGCTTTCTTACCGCGTGGATCGGCTGGATTACCAGTGACAAGACAACGAGAGCATGATTCCAAGAAGAGAAAAATTTTTAATCTGATGTCCGTTTCAAGAACGAAATGTCACAGGCTCCATCTTACAGAATCTTACAGGTTTTCCTTCTCACATTCACTAATGTTTTCATGCTTAAAATGTTACAGTTCTTTAACCGCATCAGTGATCCTGTCGATTTTCATTTGTCGTTCTGTAATCATATGAAATAGATTCAGTCGAAAAAGTATGAATAAGATGAATATTAATTTTAGGCACAGGACATAGTAGGGAATGCATCACTCCGTGGTACGGGAGAAATCAAATGGAAAATCAGAGGTAAATTGCTTACCACTTAGTAATAAAAAAGTAAATGAAGATATGCGCGCAATACAAGAAAATTTAGCGAAGCGGGTAAACTGACTGCATTTGAGTCTATCTCGTCAGGCTTGGTGATCCCTGGAATAATCGGATCAGACTGGACTCGACAGATGGAAAATGGAACAGTTGGAATATGAATAGATAACTACAGTTAAAATAACAATATGTTTGTTTTGTTGTTTTTTTATGATTTTACCCAAGGAATATTGACTGACAGCCCTTGACATATTTTTAAGTCTTGCTCGTAGGTTACACTTCCTTTAGCGAACGTATAAAATTGAATGGGAAAGGTACTATCGTATAATCTGTAGTCTCCCTCCGCAAAGACCGGGTTAGTGCGAGTGGTCAGCTAGAAAATCGGAAATGCCGAAATCGGCAGACAAATTCAAAAACGCGTGGAGATGGATAATTTCGAAATATCGACCTCAGTTTTCACTTTCCCGACTTCTTAGGGCTTCTTAGTATATCGGTGGATTGAAAACAAACTTTGGACTTAAAAAATCTCGGTCGAAAACAGTAGAGCCCCCTCCCTGAAAAAAGACTTGTAACTGAGAAACTTATTCTGACCTATTCTTAGCTGACGCCTATAGCTACTTGGGGACGTCGTCTACCATAAACGCGTCGCCTTGCCGACTCGTATCGAAGTGCAATTCATCTGATAGTATTACCGTAAGTCGAGACCCACTGTATAAGCAGACATTTAATTCGTCTACTTCAAAACCGGACCACCTTTAACACCTCACCAATACACACAAGTAGCAAAGAGCCAAATATGACAAAATAGAACCCGTGTATGGGAGTGTTTTCAGCTTAGGAAACACAAGAGTCGCTGAACACAATTACTCAGTGCACGTGATCTTAAGAAATCAGCAAAGTCGTAGATAAAAATGATATGCTTGGATTGCATTGTCTGCATTAGAAACATAGAACAACAAAGGGAACTCAAACAGTTTTCGTGCGGATATAGTATAAAATTAGTAGCTACGAGAAAGTGTCAGAAAACAAGAGCCATAATGGGACTTACTAAAGGGTCCTTTAACTGACACATTCCCGAAAACAGAAATATCGATAATTCTAAGAACTTAGCTAGAAGACTGGCCTTGGGTTTTTCTATACTTTTCGTTCGGTTTTGTAACGTTGGTGTCTGATCACCAATATGGCTGTCACTGTCGAAGTCTTCAAAAGCTAGCTCACCTTGATCGTCAATAAGTTAAGACACCCCATATAAAAAGCCCAGTTTTTTCCTTCAAAGCAAACAAAGCATGCAGTCCCCGAGTAGGTCTTTTAGGGGTAACAAAGTCCGGATCAATTTAGGTTCCTGGGGAAACTGCCCACTTACCCCTCTCCTGCCCTAAGTGAACAGTGAGTGTTGATGTTGGCTTAAGGAAGGGGTAGGCGGGCAGTTTTCCAGAAAGCTAAATTGTTCCCAAAGTCCTCCATGACCTCCAACAAAAAAAGATACACTAGAACTCAACATATAAGACTCCAATTTCCCTTGCAACTGAAATATTAATGTAAATTAGTTTTCATATGTTCCATTCATTCTATCTCTGTCATCTCCATAACTTGGTAAAACAGTCATTCATTACCATCCTTCAATCTCTTTAGTGTCTCTCTCTGATTGGTGGTTCTCAAACAGAGCCTTGTGTGGCTGGAAAGACCAAGTCTGGAATGACAGTCCTTTCTGAGCAGTAAGCAGTTGTGGTCTGTTGCTGGTCTATCTCCCTGATTTCGGGCCTTCCTCGTTTGTCTCTTTGCCGCCGCTTGTTCGGCAAGTGTCGCTTCAAAACCCTGCCTCCAAACTGAGTGGTCTGAGGCCAGGGTTTCCTATCCGTTGATGAAAATGCCCAAGGCGATCAGGCCCCTCTTGCAGACATCTTTATAGCGTAATTGGGGCCTGCCAGTGGGGCGCTCTCCTTGAACTAACTCTCCGTAAAGGAGATCCGTTGGTTGACTTAAGAGAGGCAGTCTTCTTCTTTGGTTGGCCTAAGGTCTGCTTAATACCCTCATACATCCCCTTGATGTTGCCTGTATCAGCTGCTGACCATCTCAGAGCAGAGGTGAAGCCAGGTTTGCACATCTCCTTGGCTGCGGGCGGATCGGAGGCCCTACATTTTGAGCATCTTTATTGGGACAGGCTTTGTATGCTGACAGGGCACTCCTCTTTTCAACGCAATAACTGGTGTCATCTCCTCGGAGTGGCACTCATACCAGTTGGTAGTCTTATTCAGATCTTCCCGTCGAAAATGGACTAGGCAGCGCAGTGAACAGCGTTATCTGATGTGTTAGCATTGGGTGAGCCTGAACGATTCCTCAAGTGCACGTGCAAATTCCTCCACTTTACCCTGTTTACGGGTTTTGCTAGGCCTTCCCTCCTTTTCTGTGCAATACAGTTTCTCTGTTCGCAGTTTTAGTCTGCTGCACACTAAGGAGTGGTCCGCATCGCAGTCAGCACCCATGACACTGGTAATTGCGTTTGGTGCTGGAAAGGCTAGAGCGTCTGGTAAGGATCAGGTCAAGCTGGTGCCAATAAAAGAAGAACAGCATTATAAACTTCAGCGCAGAACGGAACATCTATCTATGATAAACAAAGGCTTTTCACCAATCAAAAGGTGCCTAGTATCTAAGATGTTCAAACATATGCATTAGAGTTGGGGATCAACCGTGACCGCGGAGAGTGTGATTTCCGAGTTCCGAGTCTCTCACGAATAGCCGAAAAATGTACTTTCCCACTGAAATCTCTTTGTGTCCAATGGATCCGATGGACTCCATTGGCACCATTTTCTACCCTCTCATCCAACATGAGTAGAATTTTTCTAAGTTTCCTTTGAATAGAAAATGAACTTTTCCATTGGAAACTATTCGAATGGATCTGATGGACTCTATCGGAACGACTTTCTACCCCCTCATCCAACATATAATAATAATCTATAAGTCTCAGTCACGAACAGAAAATGAACTTTTCAATTGGAATCTATTCGTTTCCAATGGATCCAATGGACTCGCGCCATTGGAACGATATTCTA